CAAGTCTCGATCTAGCAGGTCTTTGGAGAAAATTAGCACTTTATGTCTCGTTTCATACAAAAAAAACACAAATTATTTTTTTTAAGCTAAAGTATCAGGTTTAGAGAAAAATGTGATATGACATGTCGTGATGAGTGAGCAAAGGACTATCGATTGGCAATTTTTAAAATTCGATTTTCCGGAAAAAATCCCTATGTCCACTTTAATGCCATTTCGATCCACCGTGCGGCGGGACTCAATATTTAAGCGAACTTTGAATGCCTATAAAATCATAACTACTGGGTATTTTTGAATGAAATAAAAACTAATGTATTTGTAAATGTAAAAGCCTAACTGTAACATAGGTTTCAAGTGATTTTGCATACTATTAAGGGCCGGTAGATCTATTCTCATAAATAAAACACTGGATACTCATCTTTCACATTATATTGCCTTATTTTAGTTACAATTCATCACTTAGCACAAAAGCGCGCGGACTCGTCTCCGCGCGTCCCTCTATTCTGACGTTTGATTCTCGTGTGACATTGACGTATTGTCAATGTCACTATGACAGCAACTCATTGGCCACAACTATATCGTTATTTTAACGTTTTAGATTTTTCATAATTAACAGTTCGGCCATCCTACATTTCCTTCGCCCTCGAAGGTCTACTCTACTCATAGCACACTTGACGCCTCGTATTGGGTCCAGCTGTGCGCCTTGCTAGGTCCACTCTGCCATCTCCACCACCATTCGCACCACACGCTAGCCGTGAACGCGCTCGTAGGCGCCTACAACGTGCCCTGGCTCACGCGCGCCCTGCTGCTCCACCACGCGCGGCACCTGCTGCACGCGCGGCACCTGCTGGACTCCTGCTGCGCCGACCGCGCCGTGCACCACGCAGCGCTCGCCGCGCGGGCGCCGCTCGTGGCGCGCCGACTCGCCCGGCTGCACCGCCTGCCCGCGCACTTCCTGGCGCGCGACCTGCTGCGCGCTGAGCGCGAGCCGTTGCCGCTGCTGGCGCTGGCCGCGCTGCTGCTGCCCGAAGCGCGCGCTCTGACCGCGCTGCTGCCCGAAGCGCGCGCTCTGACCGCGCTGCTGCCCGAAGCGCGCGCGCTGACCGCGCTGCTGCCCGAAGCGTGCGCGCTGACCGCGCTGCTGCCCGAAGCGTGCGCGCTGACCGCGCTGCTGCCCGAAGCGTGCGCGCTGACCGCGCTGCTGCCCGAAGCGCCCGTGCTGGCCGCGCCGCACTGCGTCGAGCTAGCCGTCGCGCTGCTGCGGCCTGCGGCCCTCCGCGCTCGAGCCGTTGACGCCGTTACTTATCATGACCACAGCTTGTCATGACATGTTCCACACAGATTGTCACGACATGTCGCAACCAGCCTGTCACGACATGTCCCACACAGATTATCACGACATGTCGCAACCAGCCTGTCACGACATGTCCCACACAGATTATCACGACATGTCGCAACCAACTTGTCACGACATGTCCCACACAGATTATTATGACTTGTTCCACACAGCTTGACATGTTCCACACAGATTGTCACGACATGTCGCAACCAACTTGTCACGACGTGTCCCACACAGATTATCACGACATGTCGCAACCAGCCTGTCACGACACGTCCCACACAGATTATCATGACTTGTTCCACACAGCTTGACATGTTCCACACAGATTGTCACGACATGTCGCAACCAGCCTGTCACGACATGTCCCACACAGATTATCATAACATGTTGTGGCACCCGCTGGACACGCCGCAGGAGCAGCCGCGTGCCGGCCGCGCCGCGCGCCACGCCGCTCTGCACCGAGCTGGCCGTCGCGCCGCTGCGGCCCGCCGCGCTTGAGCTGCCACCGCCGCCCACGCGCGGGCACCGGCAGCTGGCGCCGCTAGGCGCGCTGCACTCCACGCACCTCTGCACGCTGACTATTTTCGGCTCTGCTGACACAAGAAATCATCATACAGTACATCTATACACCATCATACAGTACATCTAATGTCATCTCGTTCTAGAGTGATCCGTCATTTGGACGTGAACTGGACGGTGGACGCGAAAGGGCGTGTCGACCTGACGCAAAAATGTATCCAGCTAATTTTAATTATTTTAAGCTTAATGGTAAGCTTAAAATATTTAAAATTAATTGTGCTTGTTATAAAGCATGGCTTTTGTTCTTTTCTTTGTCTTTTTTTAAATTTTAAGTAAACCTACAATTACCTGATCAAAAGCGATTATATTTGATTTTTCTAATAAATTTGCTACTATTTCATTGCAAAAGTGATAAAAATATGTTCTATTTATATGTTTTGTTTTTTTACTTAAACTTCATTCAAAATAATTAACTTAAATCCAATTTTTACACCTTAAATATTTGTTTTTCTTTGGTGAATAACTTGACAAGTCGTCGGTACACAACTTGACAAGTCTTTTTTTTAATAGATTAAGAAGATAATTTAATCAAATTCTTACGCCAATCGAAAGATATGCATCAAATTAGCTTATTTCAATCATAAAAATATCAATTATCATTAATTCCGATTTACCAGGGAACTCTAAACTTTAAAATCGCTCCCCTGAAAAGTACGCAAAAATGACATGTCAAGTTATTCCCGCGCGGTACGGAATTAGAGAAGGAGACAAAAATTACTGATGTTAATGTACGCAATTTGGCTAAGATAAAACTTAATAGGATTTTTTTCGTCATTAAAGTCAGAATTAATTTAATTTTGTTAAAATTCATGCGAAAAATTTATTTTCTTCAGGCAGAAAAATTAAGATTGTTAACTTTATTTTGTTTGTATATATTTTTTTATTTTTTCAAATTAATATTAAAAAACTGCCAGAAATAGAATTTAAGCAGAATCGTTCATTAAAAGAAGCCGTTTAACAACACTTGACAAGGGTATCCTGTTTCATTTTTCAAACGAGTTAATTGTTTAATTTAACCCTTCATTCGACGGAATTTTTTTTTAGTTAAATTTATAAAACAGTTACTGATTTCGTTTCTTAGCTTGTCTAGGACCCCAGAAAAAATACCCAAAAAAATCTAACTATTTCAGTTTTCTGAAAAACCTATGTACAGTATACTGGACGTTGCCAAGTTCATAAGAAAGTGACGCTCTCCAACCATGTCCAGTATACTTCCCGTTATCGAAGAGACAGAAAAAAGAAACAAGTGGTTCCGTAATAAAATATTAATTATCATCATCATAATTTCAGCTTTATGACGTCCACTAATGAACATTGTCCTCCCCCAATGATTATCAGGTTGGCAAGTGGGCTAACAACCGGCCAATCTGATAGTCACTCTGTATCCTGCGCGTTCCTGCTACCTTTATGGGTTCATCTGTCCACCTTGTGAGTGGACCTCCCACGCAGCGGTTGTCGGCACGTTGCCTCCATACTAGAACCTTGCTGTAGCCATCAGCCACCAGTTCTGCGTGATGTGCGCCCTGCCCATTGCCACTTCAGCATGCTAATCCATAAGGCTATATCAGTGATTTTAGTTCTTTTACGGATCTTCTCATTAGATGTCGCACAGAAACACCAAGCACAGCCCTCTCCATGTCATGCTGTGATATAGAGAGGGCTTATTGTGAGAAGTAACCTTTCAGTAGGTACCATTATGTGATTACTGGGAACACACTCGGACCTGTTGCTGATTTCTTCTCCTGCACTTGGACCGCCATCAAGGTGGCATTTTGTGCAAGCACTTCAGCACCAATGGTCAATACGGAAGCTCTCTGGAAAGACTACAGCACTGCTCAAGCTTCAATCAAATCGAAAGCCTCCTCGTAGTCCACGTACGCCAAGCGTTATGGCAAGTAATACTCTTTGGTCTTCTGTATAACCCTGCCGCAGTGTATGGATGTGGTTTATGGTTACAAAGACTTCTCGGACACTGGCATGTAATAACCCTCGCATAAATACTTGTAGAGATGGCTCGGAAGCGTGATGGGACTATAATCCTTCAGTAAGGTGTTATCCCCTTTCTTGAATAAGGGTACCACAACGCTTCTGGTCCATGCCTCTGGCATTATTCCCTCGAGTAAGACAAAGTTAAAGATTTAGCTGTCTATATTCATGTGCTCTATGCAAGAACTGATGGAAAAGCAGGGTGAGAAGAACAATTTTCTCATAAAAACCAGTATCTATATGAAAAGGAGTAGTGTTAGGTGGCACCAATGCTACTAAGGCTTGTTTTTTAGAGTTGATACACTGAAAAACGGTACATAGTGAGGCAGAAAACATTTTATGTGTGGATCCCTAAAATATTATTATCAAAACCCACAAAAGTTAATTTTCTAACAATTTGGCAACGGGAAGAATACTGGACATAGTATTTAGCAGTTACTTTACTAGTAATTCGACGACGGGAAGTATACTGGACATGCAAGTTATAGGTGTCGTGAAACGAAAACAAAACTCTGTATGACAGTAAATACATTGTAAGTAGCTTCGCAGGTATCCTATCTATAGTTTTTAATAATATTACAAGAGTATTAAGCCGTAAAATAATGAATAAAATGCAATTTACCGAGAGCCCGCACAGCGGGCCCTTCCTCCCCGTCATATTATTGGAGATTGCTCGCGTCTCATCGATATTGGTGCCTTGCTGATTTTTGACAGCATAGTTAGATAGTTCAGGGAGCAAATAAACACCTTGAGTTCAAGATATACGGTCAATTTTTTTACGGAGATTTATTTTCGTTCAATGGGAAGTATATCGCACGTCGTCGAATTAAGGGTTAAAACTTCCTACAAAAAATAAGGTACAATGAAGGTAATAATATTACATTGACACAGTTAATCTAGAGCAGGGTGTCCGAACCAATGAGGGCTATCGTTTTTATATTAACAGTTGGCACCCCTGGCGATTGACAGGACCTTACTCTACAGTGGCGCCATCTTGACGAGCGCAAATGCGATAGTCTTCCTACCACTTTCGCGCTCACCAGTCGGCGCCACTGTAAGGCATGCAGGCAGGCAGGCACACGGCAAGTGACAGGACCTTACTCTACAGTGGCGCCAACTGGTGAGCGCTAAAACGATAGCCCTCATTGCTCAAACAGAGCGAGCCACAGTCTGGGGCAGAGCCCCAAAAGAATGTCTGTCTAAGCCGTCTAGCTCTAGTCTAGAAATGTGTTTCTTAATTTTGTTGAAACTTAATTAAGCGGGGCATGAAAAAACATTTTTTTTGGTTCGTAGTGGCTCTGCGAAATAAAGGTTGGGAAACCCTGACCTACAGATGACCGAGCCAAAGCTAGAGTTCAAGTTAGGGTCAATTTTAGGAATACTACGAACTCTTTATTATTTACTTATTTAGTCTAGTAAAAACAGCATACCAATGATAAATTCCAGAAAATTTTCTGGTGAAAGGAAAGGTCATGAAGGCAAACAATTTGCTATTTTAGTGTTTTCATTGTAGCTGTTATTTATTTTATGCTTATAAACCTTATAATTAATGTTATAATTACCACTTCTGTTAAAGGCTTTAATTTTAATTAACTTTTGTGGAGATATATTTTGAAACATAATAAAAAACTTTCCACAATAAGGCAACTTAATGTAAATTTGTTGAATGTTCTCCGCTCGTTCTACCATGACTTAGCAAAACAACTTGTTTTTACAAAAAGCTTGTAAAAGCACAAAAATATCCGCTGCTCCGTAACAATGTTACTAAAAATGGTTTATTATTCGTAAGTCTTGAGCAAAGTTGGTTAACAGGTAAACAGTTTTAGGAAACGTTGTAAATTTTGTAAACCATCCAACATTTTTTACTCATTATTGCCAACTAACTTTTCCAAAAGATTCTTCCGAAAAAGTTTCGAACAAAATTAAATGATCAATCAATGAGTTCAAAAATCAAATGAGTTTTCAAATAGAGACCACGTCTCTACTAACGTAGCAGACGCATTATTTCTTGATGGACTGACGACCATGCGATAGTTCGTATTTTGTGGCGGTAGAGACTAGGTGGACTGCTTTCGACTGAAATCGAGTGTTGAAATTATGAAAGATATTAAAATTTTAATATTTTCAAGAATATGAGAGAAATGTAATCGAGTAGCGAGCGAGAGGGTAGGGCTTTCACTCGGTGAACTGACGATCTAGTGAAGGTTGCGGGAAACACCTCGATGCGGGCAGTGGAGGTCCGGTCGTCCCGTTAAGAAAATCCTTGAAGAAAGTTTTTTTCCAGCAATGACCGTCCTTTGGCTTAAACGAATTTTAATAATTATTATTATATCAGTATCATCATTTCTGATTTCAGCCATAGGACGTCCACTGCTGAACATAGGCCTCCCCCAATGGCCATTTGGTGGCGGCCTGCATCCAGCGCCTTCCCTGCTACTTTTATGGGGTCGTAGGTCCACCTTGTGTATATGCCCTGCCCATTGCCACTTCAGATTGCTAATCCGTCAGGCTATGTCAGCGACTTTAGTTCGTTTACGGATCTCCTCGTTTCTGATTCGCTCTCGTAAAGAAACACCGAGCATAGCCCAATTTCAATATAACAACAATATTTTTCATTAATAAGGCTGTAAATGTTTGATCTAATTGAAAACATGCTTTTTCGCTGGTTCCACAAGTGGGTCGTTAGGGAAACAACTCAACGTGGCTGGTGGTAAGCTGGCGTGACGTCATTTGATTAATCATGTTATTGGGCCAGAAAATTGGATAAGCGGTCCACTTAGAGCTGTATTTTTAAACGGTTTTGTCGATTTTTGTGACTTGAATGAAACTCAAGCAAAAAGGCAGCACAAGCTTCACCCATGGCGATTTCAGTCTGGCTGAGGAATCTATCTATATAAATAAAAAACCGGCCAAGTGCGAGTCGGGCTCGCACACCGAGGGTTCCGCCGTACAAACGTAGCGGTTTACAATTTATGACGTATTAAATCAAATTACTTACTTGATTCCGTTGCGAGTAGTGGCGAATTTCAAAATATGCGGTATGATTATTTTTTATTTATTTATTTTTCCTATATTTGCATTATAG